TAGTAGTGAACCCAAGCTCACTACTCTCCCCAAGACTCCCCATGTACTTAGTTAGCCTTACTTTCAAAACAATGCTATTGTATCAGGCTTCTCACCAAATTCAAGGTCAAACTATTTCTTAAATCAAATTCTACATCCATTTACGTTAACATTTTTATAAAGTCAACATTACTATGAAATCAAAATTTTACATCAAAATCAGCATTTTATCAAAGTGAATATTTTTTATAAGAAACCAAATTATTCATCAAAGTCTACATAATTTTACAACAAAATCAACATAAGATTATCGAGTAAAAAAGATTTCATCTTTGTTGATCAGTCTATACTTATACTATCAATTGCGCATGAGGGTGGCGCAGCAGAGGTAACGAACCAGTCATGAATTCTGGGATATCATCCGGGTACTCACTGGAGAAAAACAATAACAAAAGCAACAACCAGTCCACGGAAATTGCTCTGGATCAGTGGCCCTTTAACGTGGACCCTGTTGGACTTGGGTTGACTGATCAGGTTGTGCCACATGGGTAGATGGAGAGGTTTGTCTGTCAGTAGTTACAGAGGAGCAACGGATACCATGGTGTGGCCGGCCAGGCTGGAGCTACTAGGTAGACAATGCAATCTTTGCAAGTACTTCCGGAATTAGTTTGAACGGAGGGAAGGCATAGGCTTCCATCTTTTTACCATGAAATGGGGAGAGCATCGACTGCCCAAGCCTTTGGATACAGTACTGGTCTAACAAATGCTGGAAGTCGATTGTTCCCGGAGGTGGTGAACAGATCCATAGATGGTGTTTCCCAAGTCTGGCCTATGAGTTTGAAAGCTTCCCAAAAGAGTGTCCATTCTGTGGAAATCGCCTTGTCTTGACGAGAGAGTGAGTCTGCCAATATGTTCACCCGTCCCGGGATGTGACCCGCTCTGATATAAGCTCTTATGGCAACTGCTGCTTGGAATATATTCTGAGTGATGCTGAGAAGTTGTTGTGACTTGGTACCGCCCTGCTTGTTGAGGTAAGCTACAACCTTCATGAATAACCATGGATTGGGAAATTCCGAACGGTGGAACTTGGAACTGGAACCTGCGACCGTTCACAGCAAACCTTAGATATTTCTTGGATGAGGGATGTATAGGGATGTGCAAATAAGCGTCTTTGAGATCTATACTGATGAATTTTTAGTCTTGACGGATTAGAGTTCGTAAATTGGCCAGAGACTCCATCTTGAACTTGGGAGGTTTTTGTAGAAAGTTCTTGTTTAATAGCTGGAGATCTATTATCATACACATCTCGTCCGTGTCTTTCTTGGGGACCAGACACACTGGGGAATAAAAGCCACAGGTTAGGTCCGATGGAGTAAGTTTGACATCGGTTTTCTCCAACAGTTGTTCTATGGCAAGATTTGCCCTCACTAGACGTTGACTTTGGATGAAAAATTGTCGGCCCATCGGAAAACAAGTCACAGGACGTAGAGTGTCCAATGGAAGGATGTAGCCTCTCTCTACGACTGATATATCCATTTGTCACAGGTTATTAGATTCCAATTGTCAACATACTGGGATAGTCCGCCCCCTACTGGGGACTGAGCTACTGAAATCACATTCCGTTTCCAAATTGAGGGGCGTTTCTGGTTGTTGAAACAGCAGTTCCTTAGACGCATCCGGAGGGCTCCTGATGGAATTTATTTTTTTTAATTCTATCCAAAGCTGTGAGGCAGCCAAGAATGCCAACTTGATTGTGCATAGCATCTACCAAGGATTGATAAACCACATCTAGGAAGGAGTGTGTGAGGGCTACTTCCTGAGCTGACATCGATACTAAGGTATCCTTCTTAATACTGTTATAGTCCTGGAATAAGGGTAAGAGGGCGCGTACACCTGCAGCTAACCAGTTAGAGTAAGAGAGGATGTCAATTGAGCCGCCGTATCAAAATCCTTAAAGTCCCTGCCTGAACACGGAAGTGGCTCCCCTGGTAGTTTATAACTGTGCAAAATCCTTATCCAGATATACACACGCATGCACATCGTCATATGAGCGAAATATTCTCAAGCACGACGTTAAACACAATTTCACCTCACCTCACCTTATCCAGATAAGGCGGACTGGCTGGAATAAGTCGGTAGTGGATTGCATAAACTGGTTTATGGTTTATCCTAGGCAAGTTGTGGCCTTTGAGAGGCCTGTATTGTTCGCATCGAAGGCAGTTTTAAGAGATGAAGAATGAGGTAGGGATAATGTAGGCGTCCGTTCCAGAGGCAAGCAACCCGATAATCCCGACTCCACAGAGATGTCAATTTTGTATGATCCTCAGTAGGAGGTGGCAGGGTATTAGGGTAAAGTCCATGTAAGTACTCAAGTTTCTCCTTAAATGACCACCCCTGTGTAAAGTCATCTGCAAAAGTGTCAATTGGTTGCACTGTTAATAATCCCTCCTTCATGGAAAACTCCGGTTGGGAGAAGGGATTAACAGATGAGCCATTCGAGTCTGATAAGTCAGGTACTAACAGCATGAGCAGTGGGTTTTCTGTATCAATAAAAGCCAAGGACTCTGTAGCCGTATCTTCAGAACCGCTAGGCACATGGCAACTATCCATAGCCGTTGACCCAGATGTATGGCACGAGCCAGGACAGGATTCACATGCACGGGGGCACTGTGTCAGTCTCGTGAAAGTCCTGTGGTCCAGTCCCTATGTGGGGCAAGGTGGCAGGCTCTGGGCGACTGGGAGCTGTCACGCACGGCTTGCTCCTGGAGACAAACGTCATGGCATGTTTGCCTGAGCCATGGGCACGCCAATCCCGATATCGGTACTGCCGACACCATCCCCGTTGCCTGAAGCCCTAAGCTTCTCCCCTTGAGGGGACCGGCCTCCTATGTACGTCAGGTTATGATGATCAACTCTACCAGTTAGAGCACCCCGAGATCAGTAGGAAACGACTTTGGCTTATGCCATCAACCACCAAGTCATTGCAGCTAGTATCTGACATCTTGCCGAAATAACACTTCTCAAATTGCTTCTGCAGCCTGTTTATTTTGACCTTATTACAAATTTCCATGTCTCGCATGGACTTGTTCATAGAAGCCTGAATGTCAGATTTAAAATAAGCCAGTAAGTCTGATATGGCTGACAGATCAAGCTGACTAGAGGTAGATTTAGATTTTGACCTCTAACGTGATTTAGATTCCGATTTAATAGTCGATGAAGGAAAGCAGAAATACTTTTCTTAGGTTTAGAGCACTCTGATGAACACAAACTTTTGCGTTTTCTTGATTGGGATCAGGACTCCTCCATAGCTAACCAATCTTTTTCTGATGTTTCGAGGCATAATAAGCAACGATCCGGGAGTTACAAGGAGTGTCCTTATAACAAGTGGCACACAGAAAATGAGGGTCTATGTCCGCCATAAATTTCTGACATCGCAACCATGTGTATTTGGACATGATGTTGAGATCGGGAAAAAGGGCAGGAAATGTCCTAAAACAGCCCCAAATCACAAGCAAAATACGTATCACAGAGAAATGCAATTTAGGAGATAAACATCATGTGTTGGCCAATTTCCGGTGTTATTGAGTATGAAATACTGAAATATTCCCGTGCTTCAAATATTCAATAACACCCAGACATTGGCCAACACATGATGTTTATCGACATTGGAAATACAAAAGTAAACCAAAAGGCCCACATGGGTTTTACTGTCTGCACTCATTGACATCGAGTACGGGTACAGCAGTGAAGTGTCATCAGCTGTCCATTTCAGCTGGTTCCCATGGCAGCATCTGGAACTGCTCATTTGTGATGTCATTCCGACTTTACGTCACAATATGATTTTAATGAATTCACCATTGGTGAATACCACAATACAATTGTGTGCGATATTTGTACGTGTCAATACGCAGTGAATAGTCTTGCAATTTCCGGGAATGGAATACCATTCGATCATGTTTTTCAACCAATCAGATTAAAGAACACAGTGTCTTTTGGTTTACAATGTCTTATAAACTAATGCGATTTGATAGACTAATGTGATTGAATGTAGCTTGTTGAAGAAGGGAAGACTTGAATAAAAAAGTATTTCACTTTCACTTCTAAACATCTTGCTTTCAGACCATACAGAAACATTATAAAGGGTTTTCAAACAACAATGACGTGACGTCAGGATCAGGGGAGATAAGTGTTTGCCACTCATATGGCAATGTCCCCCACCGCTAAAGAATGGAATATTTATAACATATTTACTACTTTTTATTTTTTGGTCACATACAAGATGCCTGAAATGACTGGCGTCTGCATAATCACCCAATGTAGGCTGTCACCAAATTTGAAGACATTGGGTACAAAAGTTCATGAGAATCGCGCTAACAAGAATCGGGACGTACGTACGGACGCTGCTGAATACATAGTCCCCCGTTCTGCGTTGCAGGGAAAAAAAAAAATTAATTCAGTAATCAATTACGAATACCACTAGGAACAGCTATGACTTAAGAGTTTAAAATTTCATTTTCATTTCTGTATGTATCTGTGTAAGCACAGGAATAATGGATACCATAATCCAGAGGGAATGTTTACGTAATAATTAAGATAATGCCACCCACCAAGACCTTTTTTTATCTAAATAAATTGCCTGGGACCCATTTGTTTGGGGTTGTATGCCTTAAAGTCTTGTGGCCACAAATATTCTACTTTCACTGATGTCTTGACAATCCGATAAGAATTTGGGTTTTAACCTCTTTAACCATACAAGCAGTGTTGGTTTAACTCATTAAGCCCTAGAGCCAGTGCACCACTCAACAGGTTATGGCCCGGGAAAGCTAAACCTGAACAAAAACTTTTAAAATTCAGCTGTTATGAGTGGTAGGTTTCCACTTCCCATTGTTTAAAGAAAAAATGTGTACACATTAAAAAGGACCATGGATGAATTGGCCATGACATAAGCTGACTATACTTCCATTCTGGTGAACTAAAAATAGAAACACAAGCACACATGACAGTCAAAGATGTTTACTTACCCCTAATTTGCCCTCAAGATGTGCATTTGTGGATTTAAGGTTGGAACATAGTGCTTCAAGGCTGCTCCGAACCTGTCAACATAAGAACATTGAAACACTGATATCATGAACACTTCTGTGGTTAAACATCGGAATGCAAAGATCCAGGAAACAGAGGCTAGTACAAAAAGACTTCAGGAAGCACAGTAAGATCCGAGCAAAGAGAGGTGAGGTTAGTAAGACCTGAGGAAAGAGAAGCAAGGTAAGTAATATTCAAGTGAAGAAAAGCAAGGTAAGATCCAAGCATGGAGAGGTGAGGTAAGTAAGATCCAAGCGAGGAAAGGTGAGGTAAGTAAGATCCAAGTGAAGAGATGAGTTAAGTAAGACCTGAAGAAAAAGAAGCGTGGCAAGTAAGATCCAATTGCCATTCACTTGCACAAAACAATTGTAGGCTAAGATAATTGTAAGCTACAACCAAAACTTACAATTGGTCTGGACCATTCTGAAGTAGTTAAGATCATTGTAAGCTACAACCAAAACTTACAATTGGTCTGGACCATTCTGAAGTAGTTAAGATCGTTGTAGGCTGTGACAGGGTCAGGGTCTGTTTCACACAAGTAAACAGATTTATGTTCAAAGATGGCCTTTTCATTTTGTTAAAATTGTACGATTCGCCTCAACACCTGAACAACACGGAGAATGCACCACTGATTTAACATCATAAACTTCATTATTTACAATAGTGAACCACATAACTATCGAGTCGATGTAAGATATGACTACATAGTTTAAAAGATATTTCTTGATAAATCTAGCCTGAGTTAAAAAAGACTCGTCTTTTAGACACACTTTTCATTGAGACAAAAACTGTCTACACTGTTTGATAAATCGCCATGATTTAATTTATAAGGTAAACATGTCATCACCTATATAAGAAAAACATTAAACAAACACTTCAGCTTAGGCTCATTAAAAGGTGTCCTCCAGATCTCCTAATTTCTCCCCACAAGGTACCAAAGTACAATTAGGTGATGTGGGTATGTCATACTTGGATGAGTTTTATAATTAGGTAATGTGGGTAGTTGGAACAGTCCATTTTACAGAATGAAGGGAAGACAATACAGATATTTTGATATTCTAATCCAAGTAGTCCGATGCAGAATTCCAATATTTAGGCAAATCAGGTATTTTAATATCATGCCGATGTCCATTTTGCTGTGTCAACTTCACCCATGTCACAGACTCTTCTTTCATCACCAGTTTCATAAAGTCATACACATTTGGATGGTATTTTGTAAGGGAGCTGTAACTTAAAGTGCCAGCCAGGTTATTAGTAAGATGTCCATCATTGGCAAAATGATTCCAAACTTGTTTGGACCAGTGCTGCTCCTCCACCCATGTTATTGTTACTCAGTCCATGAACTTGATGGCAGCATCATCACCTAGTGCATCAGCAATAGCATCCAACAAGGCAATGTTGGCCTGATGAAGGAAGCGGCACAAGAGGAAGAGTCTTAGCTGTCTTGGCTAGCTTCCGAAAGTCGGCCTCATCCTTGTAACGAAACACAAGTCTATGGTGCTCAACTCGCCTCCATGATAAGCATATCTACCTCCCCGGGGATGAGGTAGAAAGGAAACCACCACATGTACATTTGGTGTCTTCGCAGGAAGGCGACTTCTTGGGGCATGTAAAGACATGGGCCATTTTACGTTTTCGCCTTCGTGCGAAAAGGGTGGACATTTGCAACAATGGGTTTGAGTGTTTATACAAGAACCCTAATCTCAGAAGAAGGCAACAACCACAAGACGTTCATGTTCATGTTATACATACATATCATATGTACAAATCATTTTATAAAATATTTCACTTCCACTTCCCTTCTTAATCATTAAAATATGTACAAAATAACAGTTTATCATGGTATCATTTTATAAAATATTTCACTTCCACTTTCACTGTCCTTCTTAACTCATTAAGATCAAGAGATGCACATGTGCGACAAATTAATTAACTCCTCACAGCGAGAGACACACATGTGCAACAACAGAAAGCACCTCTTATTCAGCGAGAGACGCACATTGGTGTCGTTACTTTTAAAAATCGCACTGTACCTATTATTTCAACCAATTTAGTAGTACTGAGCAAATATTAGCTTTTCTTACAAGGGATGCTACCTTTAGTGTCAATCAGAAGAAGTATTTAAAGTGTTTTGATAGCAATTGCTAATCATTATCATAGGCTTATACAGTGTTTGGCAAATGAACACATGTCGGCGAGAAAGGGGATTATGATGTTTTTACAGAGGTAAGTGTCTGGTACTCTTCATTGGGAATGGATACTAAAATACTTCTTATGCACATTGATTGAATTAGATGTAATGGTTTAGAGGTTACTGAAGATTATATTTTCTTCAACTTCCTAATAAATAAGAAACAATATACAAAATTTCAAGGACATACAAAGAATTCGAACACAATTGAATAGTTTCAATTTACTTTTTAGGTATTATTACGTTGTCATGTTTCATATAATGAAATATAATGTATAAACACAAATAATTATACATCCAAGCTTGAATAGATTAGACATAAATTAACTTACTAATTTAAAGCTTACTGAATTGTAACTAGTTATTTTCCATAATCTAAAGTTGATAATGTTACCTAATCGAATATAGAGTGATAAGTTGAGCCATTGCATCGAGTATATATACATGTTAGTGTTATTACAACAATGAATGGGGTAGTCCAGTGGTTAAAGCGTTGGCTCATCACGCCGAAGATCCGGGTTTGAATCCCCACATGGGTACAATGTGTGAAGCCCATTTCTGGTGTCCCCCGACGTGATGTTGCTGGAATATTGCTAAAAGCGGCGTAAAACCAAACGTCGAACAATGAAATCTTTTACTATGTTTGTTACAAAACACAGTAAGTTGGTAATTAAAAAAATCTTTAGACATAGCCAGAAATAAGCATTTCAAGCATTTGTGTTCAAGCTGTTGAAAGTTTCATGTTGATTTGAATTGTCAGTTTTCTATGCAATTTACATGAGCATTGTGTAAAACATTTGTATTCAATCAGATTACAGTAATGAGATAATTGAACACCTCTTTCGACAATGTTACGAAAGTGTGTAGCTTGCTCACCCTTGCTGCTGTGGCCAATGCAAGGAGGAAAGCTGTCTTCTTGGTGAAGTTGTAGAAGGAGATGGCATGTAGAGGCTCAAACTGCGCCTTCCGCACCAACCTAAGTACCACGTTCAGGTCTCAAACAGGTGGTCTTAACTTGGTCTTCTGGTCCTCAAGTCTGAAGAAGCATAGCAAATGCTTGTAATTCTGGAATCTTAGTAATTTTCTGGTCTTTCAGAATTGCTAACACCGAGTTAAGGGCTACCAAATAGGTTGTAACGGTACTGCCCTTGAGGTGTCTTTTACTGAGAAGAAACAGAAGAAATTCACCCAAGAATTGGTGAAATGCAGTGGTGGGATCCTGTTTGCAACTCTTCGTCGGCCACCAGGGCGCAATCAAAATCAGAGAGGTGGTGAATCACTCTGATCTTTCGAAGTACCTTGGGAAGAAGTACCAGTGGTGGAAAAGTGTACAAGTGTTTTCCCCAAGGTACGCTGGGAGCGTCTACTGCCTGTGCTTGTGGATCCGGAACCAGAGATATGTAGGTTTGGATCTGGAAGTTCTGGTTGGTGGCAATCAAGTTTATGTTTGGAAGGCCTAGAAGGTGACATGCAACATTGAACACCTCTGGGTGGAGTTTCCATTCCGTGGGAGCTATCCTGTCTGGTCTGGAAAGGTCGTCCGCTAGGATGTTTCTGCAGCCCAGAATATGCTGGATGAGGAATTTCAAGTCCAGGTGAAGGACAAGGGTTGCTGGATCCTGATGACTTTGGAGACAATCATTGTTGTATGACTCGGATTGAACGTTCATCAGGTGTAGGTACGTTGCTATTGGCTTCGTTAATCACGTGAAAAGCCACAGGGCTGTAGAAATTCCAAATGTGAGTACTGGACATTGGTAATGGATACCATTAAAGATAAAGATGAGGAATCGCATATCGCTGGGGTGGATAGGTACATGCAAGTATGCGTCCTGTAGGTTGAGACTGGTCAGGTAATTGTGGGCACTAATTCTGGTCCTAAGCAGTCTCAACATTGTCTGGTGGAAATGAGGTGGACGTTGCAGATAATGTTTATTGAACAGAGACAGATTGTGGATCATTCGGAACTTGTCCGAGTCCCTGCTTAGGAAGCAGAAACACTGGAGAGTAAAATCCTGGTGTCAATGTCGGCCCTTGAACTATCTCTATGGCTCTCTTGTGTAGCAATATGTTTATATTGTCCAATAAGATTTGATGTTGGTTGTGTGGATGGACATTCCTCCAGGGTGATATTGTTAACGGTGGACTATCAGTGAGAGTCGACAGCCCCGACAGCAGATGTTGGTGATGAACGGGTCTCCCAGCAAGAGCCAGTTCTTCCATTATCAGCCAAGTCTCCCACCAGGTGATGGTAATGGATACCATTAAAGATAAACATGTCTGTGATCTGAATGACTGGGGGTGGGAGTTCCCAATTGTTGTGGTTCAGCACTTAATTGCTTGCCCCCTGTTTCCTCCCTCTGCTCTTGTCTCAGCGGGGCTGGTAATTCCCAGATTGCCTCCCTCTCTCATGGCTTCTACCCTGAAAGGGCTGGTTGGTCTGAGTCTTGAGGGTCTTGCGCCAGGGTTGATAGTTTCCTGCCCTTGGAAGTCTTAGTGCCAAATTCTTTGATACTTGTTGCAGGGCCTTGAGCGCCGTCTCATCTCAGGCATAGGCTGAGATGCGTGAGTGTGTGTTGGAAACTTCATCATCAAGAGAGAGGAGGCAGACCACGGTTGGCGTTGGAAACGTCATTTGAATTCCAAGTCTCATTCCAAGAGAGCCTAATATCACAGTCGTCTTGTCGATGTGATTTCCACCAATGCCACCCTCAGGTGATTACTCATATGCTGAATCTGCCTCTGTTGGAAAGTCATTATGGTGCGCAGATGGTCTATGTGATTTGGATTGCTTTCTGATAAGCCCTGACTAATCGCTCTCAAAGAGGAAGCCAACGCTAACAGTGGTTTGAGGGAACAGCGAATTTCTGTCTCCAAAAAAAGCTAAACAATTGTCAGGCATTGTCAGGTTTAGATGAGCCTGTCATACGTTTTAAATCCTCATCAAGTGTGTGGCACATCTGCTGCCTCAATGGCATGGATAGGAAAATCTTCCTTCCTTAAGTGTGGTGCCATAATTGATGGAGTAAGGGATAGCCTGGCAAAGTCCTCGTCAAGCGCAGTGATCCAGTCCAAATAGTGTCCCCCTTGTCGATCCGCAGAGCTGGAGAGGGAGCCATAGAGGATAGTCTATCTGCCATCCAATCAGGAACCTGCTGAAGACTTAAGTGAGTGTTCTTTTCCAGCAAAGAGTCCTTATAAATCGGTACAAAGGCATCCTCCAATGAGTCTGAGTAGTAATCGTAAGCCCTCTGGGCCAGCAAACGACTCCTAGACCTGTGTCTGTGTTTCTTTCTCTCTGTGTGGATTTCTTTAAATGTCTAGAAGCTGCAGCTGGTGAAGTCGAATCTCAATACAAAGTAGCCCTAGAGGTCGAGGCGCTCCCTGTAACCATGGGTGGAGCTGATACGGTAAGTGCCGAGGGTGCCAAGTACTCAGGGTCAGGTGCCAAGTATTCAGGGTCAGGCGCCAAGAGTGTTGGAGACGCCATGGTAATAGGAATATTCTGTATAAGCATCGTGGGTGCTGGCAGCAATAGAGATGAATGGGGCACCAGGATCAACAGTGGCGCTGCAGGCAGAAAAGTTGCTGGTTGTGCTGTAGGTAACAGAGTTACCGAGTGTGCTTGAGGTGTTGCCGTCAGGATAGGTGCACAATCCGCCTGAGAAATGCTGCATTTCCAAGATGTGTAGAGAGTTGTCAGCTGAGGCGCCATTTTCTGCTAAAACAGTAAGGAAGTATCCAAGTTGGATCCATGTAGAACGTGCAATGCGATGGCAATGGTGGCTTGCTCAGTTGGAACAACCATCTCCTCAGCATTTCCCTCACACAGCTTCGTCTTGTCAAAAGAAAGCAGTAAATGCATTAAAGAGTAATGCTGGATATGGTAAAAAATATCATGAGACACAAGTTTACCCATAACCTTCATAATTTTCGGCAACCCATTCGACTGTTTGCATTCATTTCCATAATGTCTCAGAAATGACTAGATAAATTTACACAAATTGTAACAGTGTGTATGTAGCTCAGTTGGGCTAACAATCTGATGGTTGTAGGATCACATCCGATGGAGTCTCACAAAACTAGTTGCTTGTTTTAATTGGCTTGCGACCTCAGAGACCTAAGAGAAGTTGTGGTGCTGTATTCTAAAGGTGCTCCCAATGGCAGATGGAGATACAACAGACAACACACTATACCATATACTCACTTGGACCTTTGGACCTTGTGAAGTAAACAAATTCTTCACTACTCATTGCCACATACAACAGATTCAGTACCTTCTGTGAATCCTGTAGGTCTTGGTGCAACATCTCTGATTGTTGTTTTTCATGTTTCAATTCTGCCTCTAATCTTGTATTTTCAACAAGTAACCTTTGGTAGTTTTCTTCCACTTCTTCCTGTAATGGAGAGAAGTGAACATGTCATATCATACAGACAAGGTGAAAACATCATTATTTTTTAATAGGGAATCAGTTATCAAAACCAAAACAAATATCCTTGGAATTTTAGAAATAGAAATTCAAATGAGAGCAGATCAGAAAATATGAAAAGTTGTATGATATCATTAATTACTGTAGCATCCAAATACACTCTATTAACTTGTCATTGTTGGCCTTTCCTAACACAACATGAGGTTCTTGAGAGGCACACACAGCATGGTTAAAACATCATTATTCAAACTCTGAATACTCTGGCACCTAATTGTTCTGAATACCAGCAGTGAGAATTGATCCAAATCTTCAATTTCCTCCATAGGACATCATCTTGTTGGCAAGCAGTGCTCACTAATATTATTTACCTAAAGTCAATGTATAGTGTAATGTATGAGGTAGGGGTGGGCGATAACACCGGTTAACCGGTATATTGCAATTCGAACTTTGCAATACGATATATTGCGGTACACTTTTCATGAACCGGTTCACCCAATACGATCGGCAATTTCCGTGACCAAGATTGGTAATTTTCGTGATGTAGTAAAATATACTAATAACATTTGCATTTCCTTTATATTCTGATACATTGATAGTTTTGAGAATGGTGGTTGGTCAATCACATACGAGTCCTGACAGTGGCCAGTGGCACTGTTTCAAAAGGGGATGGTGGGGTAGCCTAGTGGTTAAGGCGTTTGCTCGTCACTCTGAAGACCCGGGTTCGATTCCCCAGATGGGCACAATGTGTGAAGCTCATTTCTGGTGTCGCCCGCCATGATATTGCTTGAATATTGCTAAAAGCGGCGTAAAACTAAACTCACTCACTCACTGTTGCAAAAGAAAGGAAAATAGTCATTAGTTAACCCATTTTACACTGCAGGCCAGAAAACCAGCCAAGAGTCCCATACACTGAGGCATACAGTAGGGACAGCAAAATTATATATAATTTTAGGAAACTACCTAATATACGATTCATTTATTAATCTATCACTTTTCACAATGTCTGAAAACACTTATTACATTTCAAATGAACATATATTATCGACAGAATGAGAATTATTTTTCGCAATGTTATTGAAAAAAATATTCTCGGGCACATGCTTCGGCTACGGGTCCACATCAAAATTGTCAAAGAGCAAACAACTGAACTCATTGAATAAACTAAAGAATAAAGTCAACAACAGTATTCATAAAAGTTGTCGAACATACACATTATAAGTTACTCCAGTGGAAACCTGATAAGGAAAATTTAAAGGGACTTGCCAAAATTGTTTACTTATCAGGTATTTTACTTATCCAAACTTATCAAAACCTGAAAATCACAACCATATGCATGTACATGTATATGTATACAGAATGATCCGACCTCAGTATCCCCCCCAGTCAAGGTAGGTCCTTTGTGAGATTGCTCAGACATTTTGCCAGAATAGACTGACGATACAATTTGTCCCTCTGTTTTATACGATAACATTTGTGTTAAGTAAACAAGCATTTTTTGCAATTGAACTTATTAAGATTTTCACCGCTAGATTTCAGCTTTTATTACTTGTCACATGACCGTAATGGCGGCCTGCTTCAAGTCATTCATCATGTAAATTGAATAAACTCACTTTGGGTCAAATACTGAGTATTTGTAGTAGGGAAGTGTCATTTGAAATGATGCATCAGTTTACCTGAAAAAAATGCTGATTGGTCTACTCACTGATACTCATAAGCTACATAAAACAATGAACAACTTATCAGGGCTGGCTTCCAGTTGTCAGTGTATTGTCAACTGCATGACGCCAGCGAGCTGTAAGTAAGTAGCTGGAGACTGACATGTGCCCCTCATGTCGGATTATGTGGTAATCACTAATTTAGTTATCCGGTCTCTTTTGTTAAGTAATTTACTTCCAGGGACAGTGAGAAGATGTTTAGTTAAGCGGTATTGTTTACTTAACCGAGTTTAGTTAACCCGACTCTAACAGTGATAATTAATGAAGAAATTTGCCGGGACCAAAGAATAGTGTTTACTTATCCGGTCTGTTTAGTTAAGCGGTCTTTACTTAGGCAGTTTCCACTGTATTTCCATCTTTTTGTGTGCTATCATGTAATGTAAGTCAAGTGACATCCCAGCGTTGGTCGCCATGAACTTCACGCTTGGACACGATGTTTAATGCAAAAATATATGTCACAGGTCATAACCTAGCTCGATACGTCCACTAAGTTCCATAATATATGTATAGGTGGTGATTTTGTGCGTGACACGTTCAGAATAGCATGATCTTACAGAAAACTTTGGTCAAAATCCAAAAGTTTTCATTTACAAGGACAGTATTGCTGTAATATGATTGGTTGCCTCAGGTCACGTGCATGATTTTGACCAATCACGATCCTGATAGCAGTCTGTGGCGAAAAAGCATCATTAGACACCAATATTTATCCAGTAAAGTGCTAACAAACTCCAGTTATTCATAAAACCCTCGAAAACAGAAGTATTTCCCTCTGTTGCATCGATTGCCTAACAAAAGACCAGCAGGACCAAAGCACCACAGACAAAAGCCCCTCGGACAAAAGCCCTTTTGGGCAAAAGCCCCAGACATCTCAGACAAAAGCTCCATATGATAATATATACGAAAACAATTCAGATTTAACAAGATTCATTTACATTTTAATATAAAAAATCAACATAGCCCTATCCAATCAGAGCATTTGAACACATATTTTCTGAGCAGCATTACTTGTCACATCAAATCACAAACAAATCAGCATAGCCCTATCCAATCTGAGAATATTTTCTTAATACAGCACTTGCCACATCTTATCCCAATGTTACAGTGTGTCCAACATTCTCAAGAAACTCTGGAACAGTTTTTACATTTATGATTTTAGTCCATACACAGGTTTTGCAGCCTCCACTATTCCAGGATTCACAAATGTTATTTGTCTTGCTTCCCCCGTCAATAGCTGCCTGGTGCACATTCCAGATGATCAGAGTCATGGATAAGAAAAGGCCTTGGATCTGAAGATCTGCTAGAGATGATGGCTCTGGGGGCATGACCGCTGACTGATGACGACAGATAGTAGAGAAAAAAACAACATTTAAGTGTCTTAATTAATCCTTGTCAAACCCAATTTTTGACTACCCTTCTCAAGACCAACCTCCTCCTCAAGACCAACTTCCTACTCAGACCACCTTGAGAAAACATAATTTGGGGCTTCGGTCCTGCGGGGCTTTTGTCTGTCCACCGTTGCATCACCTTACTGAGCAGAAAGACACTGTTATTGGGATTTAAAAGACCATACATAATATTTCAGAAATCTTTTAAAAATAATTTTCAGATAACGTAAAAATGAAAACACAAAAGAAAATGGTAAGTGGATATTATGACATGCTACAAAGGGAAAACACCCTCATTAAAAATTAACTTATTTAAATTGTTGTTGTATTATTTGAATACTATGATGAAAAATACCTTTCATATATAAATATAGTAGGATTAGACCTTTCAAATGGTGCATGACATGTAGTTGCTATAATGTTTTACAAGCTGATATTTTCCTTGATAAACATTAAAGGCTTCATTTATGACTTCTGGGAACTTGGTGTCATGGCAGTAAAAGTCTCTGGTTGACTGGTGTTGAAAGAGCTAAACCATGTGTTACACTTTCACAATATATTACAATACATATTGCAATATGACAACACATATCGCAATATGAATATTTTGGCAATACCCAACCCTATTATGAAGGATCAAAATAATCATACAAACATAATTATGATATGCATATAGGCTATATGGGGGTTAAAGATCATATATGTTGTAATACTTTTTCCATGTATATATACACAAAGAATTTAGTTAAGCACCCACTGCTATATCTCCTGATCAAATGAGCCCTGATCTTAAAGGGACACTGATCCAGAGCAATTTCCGTGGACTGGTTGTTGCTTTTGTCATTGTTTTTCTCCCGTGAGTACCCGGATGATATCCCAGAAATCTTGACTGGTTTCGTGACCTCTGCTGCGCCACCCGCATGTAAAATTGATAGAATAAGTATAGATTGATCAACAAAGATGAAATCTTTTTCAATCGATAATATTTCCATCTTCATTATTATGATAACAAATGAAAACATTTTGAAGTTTGACCATCTGCCAGTGGTACAAAATATTAGGACTGAAAATTAACGAAGTCAATGTACATCTTTATATTTTGTCTAATAATCCTAATTAGTTTATTATCATATTTGTATGCATTTTGAAACTTAAGAAAAAGCACACGATTTGGTTATACTTACAGTGAATATATAACATGACTATAACGTCTAGACATTTTATAGATTGCCAACGTGAATCATGTTTCACATACGTGCCCTAAGTGTGACCTAGTGTATTGTAACAAAAATTCATGTCTAATCTTGGCTTTAAGTACAGAGATAATCAAGCTCTCAGCCATCACAGTGATTCCAGCCAAGATGCCAAGGCGATTTTGACTTTGACAAGCAACGTAGGGTTCCAGGTTTACGTCACAGCTAATTTGTCATTTTCACATTATAAGGCATTTTTGAAGTGTTGATACATAAGAAAGCGTCGAACTGGATGGAAGCGTTGATACATAAGAGAACAGCGCACTGGAGTAAGCGGCACTCTGAATACGATCGACACACTAGTAGATAACCAGAAAGTGAATGAAAGCAGCGCAATGGGACAAAGAGTCGCACTGGACTGAAAGCAATGGTGTGTAGAGATGAGCTAATGAAAACCCAAGGTGCGCTCTGGAGCGCCGAACTGAATGAAAGCGGTGCATTTGAGTGAGCGCTCTGCCTTTTCATAGACACCGTAGAAACAGGAAGCGTAACCCCGAAGCCAAGCTGAACACCGGTAAAAACTGTAGAAATGAGGTATCAACGCCAACGTTGGAAAAAGTATTGAAGTAGAACTGCAGTAGACAAAGTCACTGTAGGTACCGTAGTGTGCGAAC